ATGGAGCAATTTGGAGCAGTTTTGGACATGGATTGGATACCATGAGTGAAGAGCATATGGGCTGGATGTTTTTGGTGTTTAACATGTGCTAAACATGTGCAAAGATCTGGAGGAATCAAAGTTAAAGCTTGGAAGACAATGAAATACATAATCTTATCCAACCTTATCCAAACTTATCTCATCTTATCCAGTCCTATCTTATCTTATCTAATCTTATCCAACATTATCTCAACTTATTTCCGGCTGCAAAATGAATCCTTATCACATTCTAAATAATTCCCATATGATTCTAGGAGTCCTAAGATAATTCAAACACCCTAGTTCTTTTTTCTCCTTGGATTTAGCTGTGCCCTATATATTGAATTAAAAAGAATAGCAGGAGGCATAACCTTCCATATAATTCAGAGTGCGGAAGTAAAACATATAAAAACAGAGTAGCATATAATGAATGAATGTAATGATGCAAGTATATTTTGAAAATAAGTTTTATTGAAAACTTACTGCAATGCAGATTACAAACAGGTATTGCCTAATGGCAGATGAAATAAGTTAACAAGGTGGAGCTCGCAGGAATCCTGAATAATATGTATTACAAGTGTTTGGAAATATTCTCTGTTCTTTTGAATACGCAGAGAGTGTTTAAAAAACTATATATGTCTTCTGAAGATGAGGTCTTTTTTTATAGAGGGAGGAGACTGATTGAAGGATGCCATTTTGATCCGGGAATCCCGCTGGCTGACTGATGAACCTCTACTGTGGAGTCACGATGTTACTTTTACAAAAGCTGAATGAATAGTGAAGATGCTTTGATTCTTTTACAAAAGTTAAATGAATAGTGACTTTTTTGTTTTTCACTATTTGAGAATAATGCCTTGTCTTTTACGGAAGAGATGATAGCAGCTACTGCTGATGATGTTGTTTGGCTGACACAATCACATGGGCAAATACTGTAGGTTAATAATCAAATGGGTCCTGGGCATCTTGAAGATCTACTTGATCTGCCCATTTGGAGGGAAGTTGAGATGAGGCATCAGATGCGTCAGAGTCCGAATCTGAACCTTTTCTTTTTTGTAGCATTGCTGCTTCAGCCATGAGCAGTTGGGCCATATCCAGAAGCTGGGAAGACTTTGCAGATTTTTCTTTCTTCGAGCTAGAGGACTTAGCAGGTTTTCCTTTGAGGGAAGATGACGGACTAATGTCTGATAGGGATTGAATTGGCTCCTGGGTTTTTTGCAACTCAGGAAATTGTTGGTGAACTGGCAAAGCTTGTGAGGACGAAGTTGAAACTTTGATTGGCAGTGCCTGAGAAGATACCTGGGGAAATTCCATTTTTACAAGATCAATAATTTTTTGGTGGTTGAATTTATCCCACCATTTTACCCATCGGGACCTGTAAATACCACCATTGTCCACTTTAAAGTTCCATTTGAGAATCCATGGAATCTTATACTTGGCCATGAGCAGTGAAAAAATAGTAACTCTGTTGTCGAAACGACTTCTGTCAAAACTGGGCTGGAAATTGTTTGTGAGTACATGACGAAGGTCATTTGGAATGATAGAAGAGCTTGGGCCATGGGAAGCCCACCAATCTGGAAACCATGCAGGAAACCGTAACCTGAAATTTTTATCAAAGGTTATGAACCATGAATGACTAAAGTCTTCTGTCTGGTGGAGAAAAATGTTGGTCCATGCTTGGATATAATCATAGTAATTGTAATGATTGTTTGGGATGAGGACATGCTGAGTATGAAGGGGTTTTGTGTGATAAAGGGGGATTCCCCATTCGAGTTTGGTAAGGAATTTTCCAATATGGAGTGAATGATACAATATTTTGTTTTGATGAGTGGTACTGTAAATTGGCTTAATAGCAATGCTTTCTGTTTCTGAAAGGATAGCCTGGTAATATTTTAGGCTTTTATAGGATTCAGTTGGTAAGAAATGAAAATTTGGTGGAAGGAGTAATTTGGCAATGCGCTCTGGGGGTTGGTTTTTGTCAATGTGAAGAGGGATGCTAAAAAGCTTTTCTGAATTGGGATTTTGGACATAAGGAGATGTTTTACCATAGCTAGGTGTTTTAGGCTGTGAAGGAGCTGGAGAACGAACTGAAGAGTAAGGATCATAAGGGGTGGCTAAGGCCGTTTGGTAGTTTGGTCGGATATTTCCTACTGTTGATCCTAAAGGAGTAAATCTGTTTGTAATGGCGAGTGCCGATGAAGAGTCGGGAATAGACTCTTGTTTTACTGGTGCTGGGGTTTGGGTGAGAGTGGCTGGAAGCCTTCTTTGATTAGGATTGGAACCCATTCTTCCCCTGCAAAAATTCTCTGGTCAGAAAATCTGGTATGCAATTCTGGCTGCCTTTAATGTATTCAATATCAAAATCAAAAATACTTAATATGGCTTGCCAGCGTGCAAAAATTTGTTTTGATGCAATATTTTGAACATCCTTTTGTAAAACATGTTTTGCAGATTTGCAATCAACACGAACTAAAAATTTTTGATTTAATAAATCATCTTGGAATTTGCTAATGCATAATACAATTGATAAAATCTCTTTTTTAATAGTACTATAGTTACTTTGAGCCGGATTCCAAATTCCTGAATGGAAACGAACAATTTGTTCAGGAGATTCGGAAAAAGTTTTTTGTTTGAGGATACCTCCATAACCGATATCAGAAGCATCAGTCTCGACTATTTTGAGAGAATCGGGAGTTGGAATGCCAAGGCAAGGTAAAGTCTTGACATGATTTTTTATCTGTTTAACAATGGAAGTATGATTTTGAGACCATGATGGAGGATTCTCCTTGAGACGATCAAACAAAGGTTTACATTGTTGACGAAGATGAGGATAAAATTCTGAAACATAATTGAGAGAACCAAGGAATCTCTGAAGCTGGGTTTTATCAATAATTTGATCTGGAAATTTATCAGCAAACTGGATGACTCGATCAATTGGCTGAATGGTAGACCTGTAAATATGGTATCCTAAAAATCTAACTTTGGTTTGAAATAACTTAATCTTAGATGCCGAGACTACTAACCCATTAGACTTAATGATCCTAGAAAATGCATGCAAATGCTTCCAATGCTCATCTATTGATTTTGAGAAAATTAATACATCATCAATATAAACAATTGAAAAATGGCTGTATTGATTAAAAATCTCATTCATGATATTTTGAAATTCACTTGGCGCGTTTTTCAAGCCGAAAGGCATTACATTCCATTCATAGTGTCCGAAAGGAGTCACAAAAGCAGTTTTGTACTTATCAGATTCATGAATTTGAATTTTCCAAAAGCCTGATTTCATGTCAAATTTGGAAAAAACAGTTGCTTGAGAAAGTCTTTTTATCAAATCTCTTTTGTTGGGGATTGGATATCGGATCCATTCTAAAACATCATTCAAAGGTTTGTAGTTAATAACTAATCGTGGAACGCCGCGTTCTAATTCTGCATTTTTCTGGACATAAAAAGCAGGGCAAGACCATGGAGATTTGCTTTTACGGATAATTCCTTTTTCTAAAAGTTGATTAATTTCGGTTTTACAAAACTCTAAAACTTCTTGGTTCATTTGAATCGGTCGTGCTTTGGTGGGGATTTTTGATTCAACAAAATCTTTAATATAAGGGAGTTTGACAATATGCTGTTTTCTATGCCAAAAAGCATTTGGAAGATCGGAACAAATTTCTTTAGTAAGCTTATCAGAAAAGTGGCGAATAGAATCTAATAAAGATTTGTTTGTTAACTGTTCTTCAATTCTTTTGTGAAGAATTTCTTCCTGTAAAAAAGCAATTTGTTGGGATTTTGCAGTAATCTGGTTGAGAGTTTTTGAAACACTATCCTTTTGTAGTTGTTTTAAATTTTTAAGATCTGTTTCTATGCAAAATTCAAAAGTAATTTTTTGGCCAAAAACCTTTGTTGAAATACAGTTGTGATGAACTTTAAAAGGATAAATTAATGCAATGAAAGGAAGTTCCAAAATAACTGGATCAGAAATATTTTTAATTAAAACGAATGGAGTTTTAAAACAAACATTTTGTTGACAAACATGGGCTTTGGGGATCTCATATTTTAAATTCATTGGGGATTGATTAGCAGCGCTAAGTACCTCAGTTGATTTGTGATAATACTTTGTAGGTATTAACCCTTCTTGAATGCAATTTAAATCTGCGCCTGAATCAATTAAAGCGATAGTTTCTAAAGAAAAATCGTCAATTATTATTTTGATTTTAGAATACCATTTTCTAATTCTAATTTTGTCTAAAAGACTTAAAACAAGGTCCTTTGAAGAAGAAGATTTTTTTGAGTGAGCGTCGGAATCGGAGTTTGAGAAAGAATTACCTTGTTCTTCTACAAGCGCTTGTGTACGTGCTCTACTGAGTTGCGAACGAATTTCGGTATTTTCGGTTTTTAAAAACTTAATTTCTGATTTAATTTGATTAATTTCTTTTTGTAAATCCTTGATGGTTAAATCCTTTTTTGGTTTATTAAACCGTTCCAAAGTGGTGCTGAGAGAAATCTTTTGAGAAGAAATTTGACTAGTGCCAGGTTCATGAGAAGAAATCAAATTTTTGAGTTTTTCAAATAAAAAGATTTTAAATCAGGGTCATCGACTTTACTAATTAATTCCATTAAAAACTCTTCTTGTTCTTCTTGCTTATTAAGCACTGAAATTTTATTACAACAAGTGTCCGTGTATGACATCCCGTCCCGAAACTAATGAATCGTACGTGCGAAATTACCTTTTTACCCCTAGTTCGTTAAAATTGCGTTTAGTGTAGTTTCGGGTAGTGTGGAAATGTGTGAGACACACACACACACACCTGTCATTTTCTCTTTTTCCTCTACCTTTCCCTGATTCCCTCTCCTATGTCTCTTTTCTGTCTCATTCTCTCTCTCTCTCCCTGAGCTCCATTTCTCTTCTTCTTCTTTCTCCAACACACGGACACACACACACAAACATACTCAAACCTTCACAAAACAAGAAACCAATTACACCATTGAACTCGTGAAGTCGAGAGGAGCACAACCATACCATTTTCAGGTGAGAAATCTTACGTTTTCACGTCGATTCGACAAACTCCGATTTGAGCACTGTTCATGCAAACTTAATCTAGCATGTTTTTGGACGTTTTAAGCTTGTAGATGTGTTAGTGAGGTCTCAAGGAGCTTGGGAATGCTTCGTTGGGTGAATTTGGACGTCGGGAAAGCAAGGTTCAAAGTTGGCCGAATTTAGATTGTGTGGACAGGTATAATTCCTTGATTTTTAGACCCTAAAAGTAGTCTAATGTGATTCTACTAGTCCTAAGCTTCATTTTGGTATAAAGAACGTGAAAAATGGTTAAAAAACGAGTGAGAAAACGAAGTTTGAAGTTTTGCAGTTTTCCGGCGACGGCGCCGGCGACGGCGCAGGCGGCGGTGGCTCGCCGGAGAAGACAGGAGAATATTCCGTTAAGTTTAACGGAATATTCCTAACGGCAGTGACGGCGTCAGTTAGGGAATATTCCGTCAGTCCAACGGAATATTCCTGACGGCGTCAGTTGACGCCGTCAGTGTGCGTGGCACGTGACCGCGCGTGGGGGCGCGTGGGTCCGTGCGTAATCAGGCGCGTGGGGGCGCGTGCGTGGTCCAAAAATTAATTTAAAAATATGGGTGTGATCCTGAGGTTGTGTAGATCACGTTGGTATATTCATTTGTCCATTTTGAGCAATGTATGAGAAATTATTACGAAAAGTTGGTTATGTGCGTTTAAATTAACGTTTTCGTAGCTTTTTCGCGTATAGGTGATACGTACTCCGAGGACGAACGTATTCACTCGGGACAGGGGGGCTACGACCCTTCCACTTATCAGTGAGTGGGCTTTTGTTTTCCGTATATACCTATATACTTTTAAATTCCCAGAAATAGAATAAAAAGAGTTAATTGATTTATGCCATGCACTTTATTATTATCGCTTATGCATCATCACATGCATTAGTAGCGGCATATATTTATATATTGTATTTGGTGCTGTGGACGCACAGGTAAGTGCCAGGTAAGTGGTTTCATGTTGTTATGCAGTTGTAGTTTGAGATGCTTAAAGAGCTCATTATCTGCACCCCGGTGTTAGTGCTCCCGCCCGTGGCCAGGGCATAGCCTTCACGTGTATGTTCACCTCCCGCACCACACGCTCAGCTTGGATCCAGGTTAGGTGCACAGCCTGTCGTACAGACCACATTAGGTGGTTCCGACTCGTAGGTGACCCGCGATTTATCGCACAGCTTCACGTGATCGTAGCACTAGAGCGTATATATATTACACCAAGCCTGTCGTACAGACCACGTTAGGTGGTTCCGACTCGTGTGCAGATTCGATTAGTGAGTTGAGATTGGAGCTCTATAGGCCGCCGTACAGGTCACGTTAGGTGACTCCCAGCTGCTAGATTATATGTTATTGATATGAGTTATGCTTGAGCATTTACATTTATTATGAGATTCCGATGTGACATATTCTCGAGCATGAATGGCATATCTTGGAGCATGTTTGGCATATCTATACATATGTATATACTTTCATTTTCTGGGATGTATACAGGTTTTACGGCGAGGGGTTAGAATGTGTTTTGTTAAAGAGTTTTCAAAGAGCTTTGTTTTTGCCCACTCACGCTTTTGTTTTGCGCCCCTCCAGGTTCTAGTTGCTTAGCAGTTGTGGTGGTCTTCCCAGAGGGCGTCCCGGCATTTCTGACAGATACTCACCAATGTAGGGTCACCTTCGGGTGTACTATTATTGTACCTTTCTCTTTGGACTGCTGTAGTCTTGCTCTGAACTTAGCATCTCACTTACGCTAGTACTTGTCTTAGTACTTTGTATGCTAGATTTTAATTTATTCGTACTTTTATATTACTTTATTTAGCTTCCGCACGTGCATATGGTTACGTCACCTCCGAGTGACGGCCAGCACGCCCTGATCTCGTTCGGGGTGTGTCAGTTTGGTATCAGAGCCTAGGTTTGGCAGTCCTGTGTCTGTGTGAGTATTCTAATAGTTTTGGTGCCTTCTGTCAGAATCATGCCGCCTCGTCGGGAACCACGTCACTCCGATGAGTCTAGTTTCCCTAATCTCACTCAGCTGGGGGAAGCTATTGCTAACGCTATCCAGTCGGCTATTCGCCCTCCCCAGAGGACTCCTCTGGAGACTATGTATAACCTGAAATTGGATAAGTTCCACGGTCATGAGGGGCCCGAGGGAGCCGAGCGTTGGTTAGAACATATTGAGAAGACTTTCCGAGTGTTGCACAATCAGGGGAACCTTCCTGTTGAGAGATGGGTCGAGACGACCTCATGGTTTCTGGGTACGGAGTCTGCATCTTGGTGGGAGCAGGAGCTTCGTAGTTTAACTCCAGCCGAGAGGACCGACTGGAATGTTTTCATTAGGTTATTCAAGAGGAGGTTTGTACCCCCAGAGTACATTGATCACAAGAAGCAGGAGTTCACTGATTTGAGACAACGGAAGATGACGGCTAATGAATACTATCGCAAGTTCACTGATCTGTCCCGTTATCATCCTGATATTAATAGTAATCCAGCCGAGATGCTTCGCCTTTTCCGTGTAGGCACTAAGAAGAGATGGCGTTCGATGGCGACCACTACACCCTGTGAGTCCTACCAGGAATTCTACGAGATACTGTTGAGAATTGAGGACTCTGAGAACATGTCGAGCGACAGTGATGAAGAAGAAAAGGACGGCAAACAGAAGAAAGATGACAAGGGAAAAGGTCAAACGTCGCTTGGGCCTCGTCAGACTCAGAACTTCAAGAAGGGTGGTACTAGTTCGAGTTCGTCTAGTGGTAGTTTTAGTGCCTCTGGACAGGGACGAGGAAATAGGTTTGCTGGAAGAGCTCGAGGCCAAAGACAAGGTGATGGTGGCCGAAGCCGAGTCCCATTTTGCCGTAGGTGTAATACCCAACATTTCGGCGAGTGTAGGTATGGCAACAGTGGGTGTTTCACGTGTGGACAGGTGGGACATAGAGCTGTGAATTGTCCCCAGGGTCAGCAGCAGAGGCCGTAGCAGACCTTTATGCCACGACCTGCACCAATTCTGCAAATTCAAGGTCCGAGTGGTTATGGTCAGGCAGGAAGGGGTGGTGCCTACCACTACCAGGGTGATGCTGTTCCCTATGCTCCGGGACAACACCAGTATCCCCAGAACCCGTATTCACAAGGTGGTTATCCCCCGTATCCTGGTAACTACATGCCGTATCCTCCGGCCCCAGCAAGTGGTTCTCAGTGGTACCAGGGAGGACAATATCAGCAGGGTGAGATGGCCACTAGTAGTGCAGGGTCTTCAAGACAGTTGGGTCAGCCCAGTCAGGGGCGTGGAGCTCAAGGCCGCGGTGTTCAAGCGAGCAGAGGTCGCGGCGGACGACAGCAAGGTCAAGGGTGTATTCACAACATTTCCCTGCAGGATGCTCAGAACAACCCGGATCTAATAATGGGTACGTTAAACATTCTGGGTTATTTTGCTAGAGTCTTAATTGATTGCGGAGCTACACATTCCGTTATTTCTCATACATTTGCTCAAGTGACACAACCTCGCCCCACACCTCTAGGGTTTGATTTAGAGTTCGCTATGCCTAGAGGAGAGAGATGTATGGTAGATTGTATGTACCCAGGTTGTCCAGTGATAGTAGAGGGTGTTGTTATGCCAGCTGATCTTATCCCGTTAGATATTGTTGACTTTGATGTGATCTTGGGCGCGGATTGGTTGCACCCCAATCGTGCTAATATTGACTGTTACGGGAAAGTAGTTACGTTTCGTCGTCCTGGACTACCTGTGGTTACTTTTGTGGGTGAGCAGAGTGGGGTGAGACACGGCGTTATTTCGGCTTTACGAGCGAAAAAGTTGTTGTCTAAAGGTTGTCATGGGTATCTAGCCCATGTAGTGTTAGATGAGGCCGTTCCTAACAGAATTGAGGATGTGAGAGTGGTCAGACACTTCCCTGATATTTTTCCCGAGGATTTACCTGGTTTACCCCCAGATCGAGATGTGGAGTTCACTATTGAGTTGCTTCCAGGTACTAATCCTATTTCTTTGACTCCTTATCGTATGGCTCCCGCAGAATTAAGGGAATTAAAAGTGCAGTTGCAGGAATTAGTGGATAAGGGGTTTATTCAGCCTAGTACTTCGCCCTGGGGCGCTCCAGTGTTGTTTGTGAGAAAGAAAGACGGAACTTTGAGGCTGTGTATTGATTACAGACAATTGAATCGAGTGACGATTAAGAACCGTTATCCATTGCCTCGTATCGATGATTTGTTTGATCAACTTCGAGGTGCTTGTGTATTCTCTAAGATAGACTTGAGGTCTGGGTACTATCAGCTGAAGATTAGTAGAGATGATGTTCCTAAGACGGCGTTCAGGACTCGTTACGGCCATTACGAGTTTCTGGTTATGCCGTTTGGGTTGACGAATGCACCAGCAGCTTTCATGGATTTAATGAATCGGGTGTTCCAGCCTTACTTGGATAGATTTGTTATTGTTTTCATTGACGATATTTTGGTGTATTCTAAGTCCAAAGCGGAGCATATTCGACATCTTACTTTAGTGTTGAAGAGATTGAGGGAACACCAATTGTATGCTAAGTTTAGCAAGTGCCAATTCTGGTTAGATCAAGTTGCATTTTTGGGGCACATCATTTCTGCTCAAGGTATTTTGGTTGACCCTCAAAAGATTGCAGCTGTGGAGAGTTGGGAGCAACCACGAACAGTCACTGAGGTGAGAAGTTTCCTTGGGTTGGCGGTGTATTATCAGAGATTCGTTAAGGATTTTTCGGTGATTGCCTTGCCGCTGACAAGGTTAACGAGGAAGGAAGTTAAATTTGAGTGGGATGATAAGTGTGAGCAGAGTTTCCAGCAGTTAAAGCATTGTCTCACTCATGCACCTGTTTTGGCACTCCTGGACGATAATGGTGATTTTGAGGTTTATAGCGATGCTTCCTTGAATGGTCTGGGATGTGTATTGATGCAGCATGGTAGGGTGATTGCTTATGCTTCGCGGCAGTTGAAATCCCATGAGATGAATTACCCTACACATGATTTGGAGTTGGCCGCTATTATCTTTGCGTTGAAGTTATGGAGACACTACCTTTACGGGGAAAAGTGTAGGATCTTCACAGATCACAAGAGTCTCCAATATCTCTTTACTCAGAAGGAACTTAATCTTCGTCAACGGAGGTGGTTGGAGTTGCTCAGCGATTACGATTGCACGATTGACTATCACCCTGGTCGTGCGAACGTAGTGGCTGATGCACTTAGCAGGAAATCACATGGCCGCATTAATGCGTTGTATGCGAGTCATGTTCCTCTTTTGGTGGATTTGCGTGCTACAGGAGTGAGGTTAGAAGCAGAAGATCGAGAGGTAGCAATACTTGCTAATTTTCAAGTTAGACCAATTCTTGTTGATCGGGTGCTTGAAGCTCAAGTAGCTGATCGGGAGATTCAAGAACTAGTCCAAGCTCGAGAGCAAGGAAGGAGGAGAGACCTCAGAGTGCGTGTTTCGGATGGCATGTTAATGCTGGAGGGTAGAATGTTCGTGCCTAATAATGTGGAGTTGAAGAAGGAAATTCTTGATGAAGCACATATCTCGGCTTACGCCATGCATCCAGGAGCTACTAAAATGTATCATACCATTCGACCATTTTATTATTGGTCGGGTATGAAAAGGGAGATAGCTGAGTATGTGAGCAGGTGTGCTGTTTGTCAACAGGTTAAAGCAGAAAGAAAGAAGCCGTTTGGGCTGTTGCAGCCGCTTCCCGTTCCAGAGTGGAAATGGGAAAATATCACTATGGATTTTGTGTACAAGCTTCCGCGTACACATAATGGCTTTGACGGCATTTGGGTGATCGTTGATCGGCTCACTAAATCAGCACATTTTATTCCAGTAAGAGAGAAGTATTCTTTGAGCCGGTTAGCGGAGTTATTCATTTCGAAGGTTGTGAAGTACCATGGTGTTCCTGTGAGTATTGTCTCGGATCGTGACCCACGGTTTACATCGAAGTTTTGGGTAGCTTTTCAGGAAGCTTTGGGTACGAGACTACTTTACAGTACGGCATATCATCCACAGACAAACGGACAGTCAGAGAGAACTATTCAGACCTTGGAAGATATGCTACGAGCTTCGGTGCTAGAGTTCAGTGATGCTTGGCACCAACGGTTAGATTTGATGGAATTTGCTTACAACAACAGTTTCCATTCGAGCATTGGCATGGCGCCATTTGAGGCCTTGTATGGCAAAGCTTGTCGTACACCATTGTGTTGGTCAGAGGTTGGAGAAAGAGCCTTGGTAGGTCCGGAGATTGTTGAGGAGACTACTCAGAATATTCAGGTAATTAGGTCAAACCTGAAAGTAGCTCAGGACAGGCAGAAAAGTTTAGCAGATCGACATGCTACGGACAGAGTGTATGAAGTCGGAGATTGGGTATTTCTGAAACTTTCACCGTGGAAAGGTGTCGTGCGGTTTGGAAAGAAGGGGAAGTTGAGTCCCAGGTATATCGGACCATACATGGTCACAGAACGAGTTGGTGAGGTAGCTTACAGATTGGAGTTGCCTCCAGAGCTGGCTAGAGTGCACAACGTTTTTCACGTGTCTATGCTCCGACATTATGTTGCTGATCCGTCGCATGTGATACCTCCTCAACCGTTGGAGATTAATCTAGACTTGACGTATGACGAGGAACCATTAATGATCTTAGATTGGAAAGAGAAGGTTCTGAGGAACAAGACGGTGAACTTAGTGATGCGAGTTTTATGCGCACACAAATTAAACCCTCTTTTTGTCAATTGTAGTGAAGTGTATAAGTAGGGATCGTTCTGGACCGGGGATTAGGAGGGATTGTTAATCACTTGGATTTTGACTCAAAAACGTAAAAACAAGTTTAAAACACTAATTAATGCGAAGAATACAAAACTAAAAGTAAGAAAGACTAAGACTTAAACAAAATAAAGGGGGATTGTATTTGGACAAAAATTGAAATAACGAAACAAGTAAATAAACTAGATAGAATGTAAATATGAAATTGATGAAATGGAATGAATGGATGCTAGCCAAGGGGTTCATCTCCACACATGTTACACTTGCATAATAAAAAGATTTCTAATTGTATTTCAATAAACCATGAATTCTCAACACCCCGGGTTAATTAGGTCCGCTTTAATTAACCGTCAAGTTTTCCTTAAGTTAATGAATTGGATGATTGCATACGACAACCCAAAGCATTCCTCACAAGTTCCCTACATGAATTGCATAATAGAGATACAAGCAAGAATCATTAAGCACATTGAAAACTATAAGTGTTGACGAGGCATTCGTTACTATGATTGCATGAAACTTATGCCAAGAATTTGTTTAACGCGATTGTTTATAAGCAACCTCCACTACTTGTGAATATAAGTTCATAACTATTACGTGAAACTCACTTATATTCTAGCGTCAAATTCATGCATGAAAATTAAGCGTTCATTCTTAATAAACATACATAAATAGGATATCAATCAAATAGTTAAACAAATTGAATTCACAACTTATGAAACGTAATTAAAAGTAATCAAATCATATTGCAAGCATAAACATATATTTCGAATTACCCCCTAGCTAAAGGGGGTTTAGTTCCTCATAACTTTGAAATCAAAGAAACACCTAAACATTCCAACAACTCAAAACTTTGAATTGTATGAACGTTTAAGCACTATTTTCTTCCATTTCTCATACGTACAAAACAAAGAGAATTAAAATGAAACTTTGAAATCAAAGAAACACCTAAACATTCCAACAACTCAAAACTTGAATTGTATGAACGTTTAGGCACTCTTCTCTTCCTCGTTGTTGTAGCACAAGGTTTAAGGATAGGTTGGTTGGGGGGATGGAAGTGTTGGGGAATTATGGAAATGGATGAGGATTGGTGGAAATGGAAGATGGTTTTTGGATTCTAAGGGAGAAAGGAATGTGTTTGTGGTGTGTTGTGTTGTGAATGAGATGAGATTTGAATGAATGAATGCAAGGGTATTTATAGGAGG